GCCGAAGACGCCAGTTGAGCTCAGAGCGATGCTTGACCAAGAAGCCAAAGCTACCTTGTCGACCCTCCGCGGCGCGGAGAGCGCTGGCACTTCCCGACAGGATGACTTGTGGCACTGCCCGATGTGCCCCTTCAGGGCTTTCCAACGAAGGGAGAAGCTGATTTCGCACATGAGCAATACCCACGTCGGGCCGACGCTCTGTGGCGCGTCGAACAAACAGATGCGCGTGATCCATGCGATGTGGAACCACTCAGCCTTATGTCGGCGCTCTGTGAGCTTCTGGGCTGCGGGCGCAGATGAGACCAGTCCGCCCTCACTAATTTCGCGGAGTGCTGATTTCATTCGGAATGGGTGCATGGAGTCTCCATCTTGGACCGAGGTCAATCACCAGCTGAGGAAGACTGACTCCGATCGATATACGGTCCTCCTGCTCGATGCCAGGGAACGCACTCGTTATATCCTGAGCGAGGACGCACCAACGTATCACCGAGTCAGTGAGCATTACCGTTGTACAAATGATTTCTTGGCTTCGTTCTTGGCCGCGTTACTCCACCCAGACACCAAAGGGTCCAAGAAGCGGGCCTGGGCTCACGCGAAGGACGCCGCAGGTTTTACCCGTTACCTTTTCCCAAACGATTCCCGCATTCATCTGACTGTCGTAGAGGGGTTGTTGAGAAATTGCAGCATCAGAAACATGATCGCGAAATGCCGCGAGGGCGCAGACAAGACTGTCATTGGTATCGACGGGCAGTACTCAACTCTATTGTCGGTATTGTACCAGACGCAGCATGGGGCCCATGGGGGTAATGGGAATGCCAATTATGCGCATGCGCCGAACCTGGCAATGCCGACTCTGTGCATGCACCGATGCTGGGCACAGGGTCGGCGCGGCCAGGGTCGGCGTCAGCGCGTGGTCGGCATTCTCATAGGTGGCAGTCGAAAGCAGGGCGTCCACGTGCAGCTCTCTGTTCAGTGCATGCACTCTGTTCTCCTGGCGCAACCAGCGCCGTCCGAGGCTTTCAAGCACGCCCAGAAGGCTCTTCTTGAAGCCGTTGGCAACGAGAACGGCGCCAGACAGGTGCGCATGATATGCTCGGATGCGCCCATCTCAATGGAGGGGACCGCTCTCCGCGTCGCGTTCCCGCGGCTGCAGTGCCTCTCCAAGGACCCCTTGCACGTCGCCCTAAAGATCGAGCAGGCGTCCAACGAGAAGCGCACTTCACTATCGATCCTCGTCCGCCGATGCATCGTCAAGTTCTCCATGGGCCTAGGCGATGGCAAGCCGTACTTCCGCGGGCAGCGGCGGCGGGCGGAATGGCAGTCATTGGACGGCGCTATCTCCTCCCTCTCGGACGCTTCGGCAGCGCGGGCCAAAGCGGCGATTGAGGCCGCTGGCTATCCCGAGCGGCCGTGCCGCGCCGCCGCAGCTTTCGTCAGAGACATCGCCGCGCCGTGCAAGATGTTCCCGCGGAAGATGGAGAAGACGACGAGTGAGAAAACTACTATCCTTGGTAGTCTGCGATCTGCAACGTCACCTGCGCAGCTTGAGTACATCTTGAACCTTGGTAGATTCATTGCGCGGAACCCCAGCGTTCAGGTGATGTACGGGACCGCGAGGAATGAAGCTCTGCACATGCAACTGCAAGCATTCTTTCGGAACGTGTTCATTCAAACTGAGCGGAACGCACGCGCAGTATGCTCAATATGCACGTTCGCCAAGCTGTTGGTCGGCTGGGCGAGGAAGAGCTTACCGTTGACCGAACTGCACCAGGAGCGCGAGTTCCTCCAGGCCGCGCTCGGCGCTCTCATTGACGCCCCGCCGAAAATAGCGCCAAAGCTGCGCTTGTCGGCGCGCGCGAACCCGCGCGTTGACGTGGAGCGCCTGCCCCCCAGCGCTAAAGTCCTGCGCAAGAGGCCAGCGGCCGCTGCGGCGGCGCGCTGCCCCCGTAAGCGGCTTGCTTCTGTTGCGTTTCCTTGAGCAGATCCGCGTTTCCTTGAATGGTCCCGATGCGTTGGCGATTGGGTTTAGGCTCTCTTGCGCCAGAGCTTTGTTGTTCAGTCCGTGTCGTGGTCCCATGCCTTGATTGCTCGAGCTCGCTGGTCAGGGGCTGGTACGCATTCGCGTTTTCTTGTAATTCCTTTCACTTGAGCGCCCGCGCGCGTGGCTCAGCCGCGCCCGTTCTGCAACAACACATAGTTGGAGGAAAGCCCGCCCGCGCCCTCTTCCGTTCTGCTGGGAGGGAAGGCCGCGGGCCGCTCAAAGACCCAGGGCGCTCTGGAGAGAGAGAGAGAGAGAGAGAGAGAGAGAGAGAGAGAGAGGAAAACAAGAAAACATTAAAAACATGAGAAACCTTGTGTTTCCACATGGAAAACACAAAAAATGAATAAGAGCGACGGTCACCGGTTTTGCTGGTTTTTCATGCTTTTTCCATATGAAAACACATGGTTTTATTGATGCTTTTCATGTGTTTATTGCTTTCCCTTCTTCCGCTCTGCTGCGAGGGAGGGCCGTGGGCCGTTCAGAGACCCCAGAGCGCTGAGGGGGGAATGAGGAAAACAGGAAAACATGAAACACCATGAACAAACATGTGTTTTCACATGGAAAAACAAGTAAACATTGAAGAAGAGTGACAGTCAAATGGTTCGTTGTTTTTTTGTTTTTCTATGTGAAAACAAGTGTTTTACAGTTTTTCATGTTTTTCCTGTTTCCCCCTCTTTCGCTCTGCTGCGAGGGAGGGCCGCGGGCCGCTCAGAGACCCCAGAGCGCTGCGGGGAGAAGAGAGGCAAACAGGAAAAGCATGAAGAACATGAAAAACATGTGTTTTCACAAGGGAAACCAGGAACAACTCGGAAAAGAGTGACAGTCAAAGGTTTCACTGTTTTATCTTGTTCTTCCATGTGAAAACACAGTTTTTTAGTGTTTTTCCTGTTTTCCCTGTTTTCCCAAGTTTCCCTCTGCTGTGAGGGAGGGCCGCGGGCCGCTCAGAGACCCCAGGGCGATCTGGAGAGGGAGGGGGAAAGCAGGAACATGAGTGGAGAGAGAAATGCATACATATATATATATAGAGAGAGAGAGAGAGAGAGAGAGAGAGAGAGAGAGAGAGAGCAAAGAAACTCAACAAAACTCTCACGCGACCCTTGTTCCAGGGGGCGGGGGTACAACCCTTGCGGGGGCGGCCGCCAGTGATATCTCGAATCGCAGGGGGGGGATGAGAGGGGCAGAAGGACGCATGATGGAACGGGAAGTCGAGACGGAGGAACGAGAGAGCGAAGATGGAGGTTGCGATGGCGATGTTTTTTTCAGTGTTACGGCCGAAGCAGCCGATGCGTTAATTCCCAACGCACGTGCAAATTCCGCCGTGGGTCAGCCACGGCGCGGATTCCAAAAAGGGTCGATCAGCCCTACGCCGTGAGAGTTCTCCGGGAGCGGCATGAACCTAGGCTCACTCCACCACCATTTGTAGGTGAGTTGGATCTGCGTAGATACCGTTCGTGTCATCAGCATCTGCGTCGGCGCCGCTGGCGTCGGCGGTGGCGCCGTGGCGTCGGTCGGCGCCGTTGGCGTCGGCGTCGCTGTCGGCGGGTGCACCGCCATGTGGATGGCGGCGGTCGGCGTCGGCACCGCCACGTGGATGGTCGCGGCGCCAGTCGGCGTCGGACGTTTCGGGCACAGCCGCTCCCAGAGCATTATCGCAATCGCGCTCTGGACTGCCCCGCCGACGAGGATGGCCACTGCCAGGGTGTAGGGTGTAGATGATGCCGGCGCCGCCGTCGTCGGCCGCCACGCGGTTGGTCGCGGCGGCAATCGTTGGGCCCGGGCTAACCTGAGCTGGAACGGGCGGGCGAATGACGATGCAATGACACTGAGGAGCGTGTAGATCATGATTGGGCCAACCATTGGGGCCGCGATGAGCGTTTGAATGCTGATGGCGATGCCTCAGGTTATCGCAGGGGCCGTCTCGGAGCCACGGGGGAGGGGCACCCCCCCAACCAAGTCGGTTGTCGCTCAACTGCCAGAGGACTGGCGAAGCGCGCACGCGTCGTGGAGGGAGGAGATGGCGGTTGAAAAGGAGGGCGTAGGAGGGATGGGGGATGCGGAGGATGAGGATGAGGAGGAGGAATTATGTTTTTTCCTTTGCGCCCCAGAGACCCGCGGCCGAAGCAGCCACAGAAATCCCGCAATCCTCGTCGGACTCCCGGGGGCCCCTGAATGGCAACGTCTTCTGCGTGTCATCGTCCGAGAGCGGCATCGGATCAAACGTGTCAGAACAATCCAGCCCCTCATCACGCGTGCGCGCACGCTTCGGCGGCGAACGGCGGCGGTCCTCAATGGGCGGGTAGGCTGCGGCAGACGTGGCGACCCAGTCGGCGCCAGCTGCCACCGCGAAGCCGAAGGCGTTCGCCGCCCTGCGGAACTCGCCCTGGTCGAACTTCTCGCTGAACTCGCCCTGGCGCTTACCGTGGAGTTCGTCCCATTTGGCCTTCATCTCCTTCTTGAGCCCAGTGGTAAACTCCCGTTCGGCCGCCCACCACATCTGCTGGGTGCGCTCGATCTTCTCGGTCAGCATGATCAGCTTTTGTGCTGCGGCCGTCAGCGCCCGGACACTGGGCTGCGATTAGGGTCAGGTCGCTGAAGTCCTTGTGCACGTAATGCTGGAACGTGTCGTCGTCAATCAGGATGTGTGCCGCCTCCGCCAATGTGCGCATCTTCACATTTGCTTCACAGCGAATCGCAGGGATGACGCCGTCCTGGTCGAGGTCAATGTAATCGTCCGAGCGGCCGCTGAGGAAAACCGACATTGCGTCTTGCATGTTGGTGTGGGGCTGGACAATCCGCCAATGAATGCTGATACTTTGGCAGCCTTGAACACAATATGGCTATGGAACGTGGCGACGCATGCTCACTCATATTCAGACACACTCAAGTTCATAACTCGCAGTCTGACCCACTCGACCTCATATTGGTTGGCATTGATGCCCAAGCATTTTTCCCCACAGCATCACCGCAAGCCCGATTCAGAAGTGGACGTGCAAACGCACCTGATTCTCGTCAAGAACGAATCGACCGTGAATGTGTTCCGATGGTTATAAAAGGCAGGTTGTGCCACCTCTGGCGGCGAGACTAGTGCGAAGAGGTTGCCGGGCGCGTGCGCCTTCTTCAACGCTGGCCAGTTAAACCCGCCAAGCCTCCATTTGCAGCCTGGGGTGTGCCTGATTAAGTGCTGTACAAACTCGCAGAACGTACGTCGCGTGTCTCTGAACTCGGCGCTCACAAACGTTACTTTCTTCAAATGGTACGTTGGCAGCATTTTGACCCCAGCGCCAAAACGGCTTGAAATTAAAAGCGCGGGGGTAACTTCATATCCCCCTTTGAACGCCGTTGCAGCGGTAATGAACGGGTCAGCGCGCCCTGGTGTCTGTGCAACAAAAACTTCAGCCTCGTGCATCCGCGCTGATTGCAGGCGATGCGCGATGAGTGCGGCCGCCACCTCTGGCGACCTGCAAGGTATATCCACGAAAACAGCCTTCCCCCTGATAGCTTCTAGGAGCTTGGCCGTTGGCGTGCCCAGCGCGGCCAATCGCGCGCGCTCGGTCTTGCGCGACCTGGCCAATTGATCAGCAAGTTGCTTCTTGTGTTTGGCGGCTGCGTCTTCGCAAACAGCATGCGCCACTTCCTGTGGTAGGAGGACGTTCTCCGAGTATGCAATGCACCGCTTGGTATTTTGCTTGTTCTTCAAGAAGTCGAGCTCCTTCCGGTGCGTGGCGCCCCAGTTCGAGCCTGGTCCGACCTCCCCGGTCGAATCGCCAGCCACTGTATCCGAAACAGCGAGCCTCGCAGCCTTGCGGCGCTGACGAATGAATTCGGCTTCGCCTTCCTTCATCACTGTTCGTGGTCTCTTAACCCCTTTGTCGATGCGCGGAAACTTCCTCACTACAGGACGCCCGCAGGTCTCGCGCCAAATCCGCCGGGCACTGTCAATGACTTTGTTGAGGTCACGATTGGGCAAGTCCAGAGCGATCTTGAGAAACATGTCCTCGCTGCACGCGTCTGAGGAGAGTTGGCGACAGTTAAACTTGAGCGCAGCCAGGCTAAACTTCTGCCCCACCCCCGACGTGCTGATTCCAAAGGCCACATATGCAACCAAAGCTGATTTCAGATCGTCGATGTTGTGCCGCAGCGCTAGTCTCTGCTGCCCTAGTTTCTGTATCACATATCTCCAAGCTTCCTTATTCGACAAACCTCTCTGCTGTTGTTGGCGAGCCCTCGGGAACCCATGTTCCCACTGAACCTGCAGCCTAGTTGGATTGATGTCCGCGGCCTGGCAGAACAGGCGCCCGGCATGTCTCGCGGGCAACGTTGACCTTGGCATGCGGCTGGACTCATTTTTCGGGGGCGGGCGCGGCGCGGGGGGGGGGGCGGCGGTCGTTGCGGGCAACACGGCGATCCAATGCCTGAGCAGTCCGCCGCAAATCCACATCCGCCCGGGGGTGCGTGGTGGACAAGTCGAACACTTGGAATGCCTGTGGTCATGGCGCACACCCCACTGCTCTTGAGATCACCCCCTGGGGCCCCGCATGGGGCCCGATCGGAAACGAAAAACACCAGCAGCAACAAAACCCCGACAACTTATCAACGTAACCCTGGTTGCCTGGCTCATCTCGAAACTTGGAGACTCAGCTGCCAGCGCTGCGCGCGCCAGGACCACGTAAGACCTCATCCTCTCCATGCGCCTCTTGACAATGTCGCCAGGGACACCGCGCTCGAAACCTATGCTCCGAGAGTCGTCGTTGACGTGCCAAACCACGTACTGGTTGAGGAGGTTCATCATGACCGAAGTGTCACCGAAAATAGTTGAGCACCGCTCGCTCTCACCAAACATTGCCTCGACCTTTCTGATGAACAGGGGCGCTTCTGAATTGAGACTGGCGGTGTCAACGTCTTCATTATCAAGCAGTCTCGTCAAGCACATCCCTTCGTCAGCCACGTCTGCCATCATCGCAAGCATTAAACATCGTTCGCTGTCCACCCATGCAAGCCACGCTTTGGCCTTGTCGGTGTTCTCATCCTTGGCCGGGCGGTTGGCCACGCACATCGCTGTCTCGATGCTCGCATGCTTGAAGAGAGCAGTGCGGCCAAGAGGTGTTTGCCAAGATTCAAAACGATGCGACGCGGCTCGCGTGTTCCTTATCGCGGATGTAACCACGGAGCTCTGTGAAGACTTGACATACCCAGCGAACAGACGCGATGTCTCGGTGCTGTTCTGGACGAGCTTGGCCACCGAACTGCGGCCTTGTGCCATCATCAGCGCTACATCTCTCAAGTATGCGCCTGCGTTCCAGGGGCGCGAAATGATGCGCCGCGAGGCGTGCGATGAGTCGCGCAGCACGAACTTTAGGTTTGGCGTGGGTGCCCTTTCCGTCTGAGCACGCGATTGGTTGCGCATCATTTCACTCGCGAGAAGTTCATCTCCAGCTGAGTCGGCGGTCATGCACATGACACTCTCCCGAACATGGGCCATCAAGCTCGCCATAAACGTGGGTTTCACGACAGAGTCTCGGTGATTCATTGAACTTAGTGCACATTCGCTCTATGATTCTGAAGGTAGCTTCCGTAATCTTAGTGGCACCAGTTCCGAAGTCTCTCTCGTGGCCCAAAGTGCCACTGAACTCCTCCAAATTCTGATTTACAGCTCGGCATCTCACAGCCAGCCGACCTTTTCGCTCATCCCGAAACAAAGATATCGCTCTAGCTGACTTTAAAGCCTCTCTGTCAGCAGCGCACAAGGCCTCCTTCAAGCACCGCAGGATTCTCCCACGCGCAATAGTCCCATGGCCCAAACTTCCGCCTGCAACGATGTCACCGGCAACCTGTTTGAATTCGTCCCACTTCGGGCACATCACTGAGTGCACCGCATCATCAAGGTTTCCAGCTAGGAACGCTGCCGCGGCAGCCTTGTCCTCGGCACACTGAGCGTGCTTCTGTAAACTGCAAACTTGTATGGCGCCGTTTGATCTATCTCCGCGCGCGCCGAAAGGGCTCGCGGTGAAGCCAGCTGCCCGGCAGATTTTGCAACCCGCCCCCAAGCCTTTCGCCCGCTTGCTATCAAGCCACGTGCCCAACTTTGGCTGCGCATGGTCTATGGGGAACCTATTCGCCCATACTGGATAATTTCGTTTTCACTTTCCGCGGCCGTCGTGTGCAGCCCCCAGCTTGAGGACCATTACTTGCTCCAAGCAGACGTGCCGCGACGAGGAATTGAGCCCAAATGGCGAGCGGCAGAGGACTTACTTGTTGTTCAGGGCCACCCCCACCCCCACCACCCCACCCGCCCCTTAATGGCAACCCGACGGGATCCATCGCCAGATCTGACTGTCCAATCACATTAGTGTTGATGTTCTCGCTACACCTTGCACCTTGGAGGGGTCGAATTTCACATGTAAGCGAAGGTCAGGCGGCAACCGACAGGTATACATAAGTTTTCCAGAACGAATGTTGGTTAGAGATTGTGTTTTGCACGTTTCCCCCCCCTCCTCCCCCTGCCCCTCTCAGTGGTAACCCGAGTGCCCCATCGCCAGATCTGAACGTCCACTCGCTTTCTGCACTTTGGAGGGTCACATGAATTCTGCACTCGCACTCTGCACGTGCTTGCATCGCCAGATCTGAACTTCACATGTAAACGAACGTCGGGCGGCAACCGACAGGTGTACATAGGTTTTCTGAACGAATGCTGGATAACGAGAGTGTGTGTGTGTGTGTGTTCCCCGCCCTCCCTCTGCAGGTCGGAGCTGATTCGGCAGACCGTGCAGCTGGGCGTGCGCAGCACTCGGCCGAAACATCCGAAACAACGAAAACAAAACTAAGGCTTGCGCGGTGGTGGCCCGGGCGGATGCTTCACTCCACGCGGGAAAGGCACCTTCTTCTCGACCAAACCTGAGCTCCACAGGGCGTCCTCGAGAAGTGCCCCAGTCGTGTTCACGGAAACAGCGTTGCCGATGTGCTGGCCCAACTGGCGCTGGCTCATCTTCAGCGTCGTCCACGGGATATCAGTCAGCTCGAAACCCTGTAGCTTGATCAACTCAGTCGGGGTTGTGAGGTGCCCCCTCGTAGAAATCCAAGGCCCACCATCTCCGCCCCTTGACCTGGCGATGGTCTTGGCCTCGTCGATGCCGTAGGTTGCGAAATTAGGCGAAGCGTCGATGTCAACCAGGATGGGCGTGGAACGAGGGTCGCGCCCGTAGTCGAAGCACTCCTTGTAGGCCGTCTTGCACGCATCCTTCTGGCGCTGGACCGTGGGCAGACGGCCCGCCATGTCGGTGGGTTTCCACGCGTCCAAGATCGCGTTGATGCTGGGGCACGGCTTGGTGATTTCGGGCCAATTGAATGGATGTTTGATGGCGTCTGTCCTGATGGCCACCACGAACACCCGGCGACGATCTTGTGGAATGCCGTAGTCGCGTGAATCGAGCACGCTGTAGTTCACAGTGTAGCCGATGCTGATCAAGCCCTTGATGATGCCATCCAGCACGGGCTTGAGCCTTTTGTGGGCAGCGTGAAAACTTTCTCGAAGACCGACACCCTGGGCTGCTTGTTTTTGATGTACTGCATGGCCTTCTTGATAAGCTGGCCAGTCTGCTTTGGCCCATTGACTCCCTGACGAGGGCCGTTCTGGCTTAAATCCTGGCACGGTGGCGTCCACGTGTAGACGTCAGTATCCTCTTCCTCTTCAGGGGTGCGCTCTGTTATGTCTGTGGAGAACTTGCCAAGATTGTGCACAGCCTTGATGACCTTCTCGCAGGGCTTGGCCGAGTCGCTGGCGAAGACGTTCGTGAACGGCACGCCCATGCGCCGCATTGCAACTGAGGTGGGGTCCACGCCTGTAAAATCACTGCCTAGCTTGACTACTTTCGGGCGCCGTGGGCGGCGCACCTTAACCGTAGTTTTGGGCGGCGCCGTCGTGCCATCCCAGGCGAGCCCCATCGCTTGGTCGCGCCAGCCCGGGCGAGCCGCTCAGTGGTCCTAAATGGTACGTGCCGGTGCAGCTATAGATGCGGCCCATGGGGAAGGGGGGGGGGTCGGGCCATGATTGACAAGGAGGAGTGGGAGAAGGAGGCGCTAGCTCTGATGTTTGTGCTGCGGATTCGAGCGAGCGAGCGAGCGGCTGCGGATTCGAGCGAGCGAGCGAGCGGCTGCGAGCCTCGCCGCTGCCAGCCATCCAAGACCCCCCCCCCCCCCCCACGCACGCACACACACACACACACACACACACACACACACACACACACACACACACACACACACACACACACACACACACACACACACACACACACACACACACACACACACACACACACACACACACACACACACACACACACACTTCTGAGCGTGATTGCTGAGAGGGAGCGCTAATTCTACAGTGCTTCTCGAGGAACGCTAACACTACAGTGCTTCTCGGGGAACTCTAACCCTACAGTGCTTGTCGGGGGCCGCTAACTCTACAGTGCCTCCCCCGTCATTTGTCCGACATATTGGGGTTGTGAATTCTCAATGCTACCTTGCTTCTGACAGTTTCACTGCCTCCTCGTCTTTGCCCCCCCTTCCCCCCCTCCCCCTGTGCCTCTTGCCTCGCCTCTTGGCCCGCTGCCATTTCACGCCCAAGTATGCCATGCCGCGGCTGCGGGAAGCCAGTTCGAGGGCGCCCCCGAGCTGCGAGAGGCCACTTCGAGAGCGCCCCTGAGCTGCGAGAGGCCACTTCGAGGACGTCCCCGAGCTGCGAGAGGCCACTTCGAGGACGTCCCCGAGCTGCGCGATGACCTCTCAGCAGCTCGGGGACGCCCTCGAACTGGCCTCTCGCAGCTCGGGGACGCCCTCGGCATGGCCTCTCTCAGCTCGGGGGCGCCCTCGAACTGGCCTCTCGCAGCTCGGGGGCGTCCTCGAACTGGCATCTCGCAGCTCGGGGACGTCATCGAAATGGCCTCTCGCAGCGCGGGGGCGTCCTTGAAAACGCCCCCGAGCTGCGAGAAGTCTAACGTACCTCTCCTCGACGTGTCCACTCGCACCTCGGGGGCGCCCCCGATCTTCGAGAGGCGACCCCGGGGCGTGACAGACCTCTCCTCGAAGTGGCCTATCGCAGCTCGGGTGCGCCCCCGAGCTGCGAGGCGCCACTTCGAGGACGTCCCCGAGCTGCGAGAGGCCACTTCGAGGCCGCCCCCGAGCTACGAGAGGCCATTTCGAGGGCGTCCCCGAGCTGCGAGAGGCCAAGTCGAGGACGTCCCCGAGCTGCGAGAGGCCCTCGAAGTGACCTCTCGCAGCTCGGGAACGCCCTCGAAGTGGCCTCTCGCAGCTCGTGGGCGTCTCGAGCCTCTCGCAGCTCGGGGACGTCCTCGAAGTGGCGTCTCGCAGCTCGGGGGCGTCCTCGAAACGGCCTCTCGCCCCCGTCGGCCCCCCGGGATCCCAGTCGAATCATGCTTGCATGGCTCGGGGTGGTCCTCGGGGGCCGCCCGACGTCTCAAGGTCGCCTCCAGAGCTGCGAGAGGAGAGGACTAACAGATTTCTCCACTCGCAGCTCAAGGACGTCCTTGAGCTGCGAGTGGTAGGGTTAGTCCTCTCACTATAGAGAGGCCTGTGAGACATCATGCTCACAGACCTCTCCAGAGTGAGAGGACTAACCCTACCACTCGAAGCTCAAGGTCGTCCTTGAGCTGCGAGCGGAGGGGTCGATTAATCCTCTCCTCTCGCAGCTCTGGAAGCGGCACTGGATGTCGAACCCCAACCCTGAATGCGATGCGATTTTGGATCCCCCGGGAGGTCGGCAAACTTTTAAGTCCCCAAGAGGCCCCAAGAGGCCCCCAAGAGGCCCCCAGGAAGCCCCTGGAGCCACGAACGCGGCTTCAAAACTGCCCCCAAGAGGCCTCGAAAGCCCTCCGGAGAGACCCCTCAGTCCAGGCACGGGGGCGGAATGGGCCGAAGGCCACTAGATCCGCCGCCCCCTGTGGTCTTGCCACAGGGGTGCACGGCGTGCTGGATGATTCAGTTTTGGTTTTGGTTCTCTTTCTAAAAGAACTCCCCAGTGGGCTTCGGCCCGTCCCGCCGGCCACCCGTAAATTTCCCAAAATGCGTCTGCCAATGCCTTTGTTGCCCCAACTTGGCCCACGATGGCCTCCAAGACGGCCAGGATGGCCCAAGATGGCCTCCAAGATGCCTCCAAGACGGCGAAGATGGCCTCCAAGACGGGTAAGATGGCTCCAAGATGCCTCCAAGACGGCCCAAGATGCCCTCCAAGACGGCCAAGATGGCCCCAAGATGCCTCCAAGATGGCCCAAGAGGCCTCCAAGACGTTCTCCAGGAGAGCCCGAAGAGGCCAAAATCATTGGTTCCCCTTAGGTTTTTTCAATGTTTTTCCCAACCATCCTGTGGTGTTGGGCCCTCGTTTTGAAGAGACGGTGCCCCGCGTTTCCTTCCTCCCTCCTTCCTCCTCCTCCTCCTCCCTCCTCCCCCTCTTCCTTGCGTTTCACCCGCCCAGTACAGCGTTTCGTAGCCCCATAGGGAGCTCCGCCGAAGGCC